AGGCCGGGGGCTGGGTGGGGAGGGGGTCCGTTTGGGCAACATGTGTCTGTACACGCATGTGTGTGTGCAGGTGTGTGCGGGGAGCCAGGGGAGGACGGGGCCTCCGGGAGAGCTGGGCCGAGGGGAAGAAGACTGTCTCGCAGGCAGACCCAGCACAGGCAGCTGCTCTAGCTTTGGGGGGACCCAGGGCTGGCCGGGTTCCCTTCGCAGGGGCTTGGGCTGGGGACGGAGGACATGTGCGCGCTCCAGGTGCCCCTAAAGGAGACGTGCCTCACCCCTGCTAACTAGGGGGACCAGCATGGGGCAAGCGTCTTCTCCCAGACTGCAGCTGGGGGCTCATCCTCTTCCCCAAACAGGGGGTCATGAGGCTGTCCGGGGGAGCAGATTGTCCATTCTGGGAGCCCCAGGCTCTACTATTCCTTCTCCTTTCCCCAGTCCTCACTGGAATTCTTCCCAAGACTGGGGTGATGTGATGGAGGGGGGGTGGTGGTGTCCCAGCTTGGAGGGAGAGGAGGGACCCCACCCCCAATCACCTGAGAAGGCTCCAAACTACAATCCCCACAATGCTCTGCACCATCCGGCTCCTTTGCCAAGAGGCCGCTGGTTGCAGTGCGTCATGGGAGTTGTAGTCAAGACTGGCCCGGATGGGAGGGGCATGGAGTCGGGGGAACCAGGGGCTTGAAGTGGGGACGCCAGCCCAGCCCTGTGCGCCCACAGATGGATTCGCCCTGGGCCGGGCCCCTCTGGCTCCTCCCTACGCCGTGGTCCTCATTTCCTGCTCCGGTCTGCTGGCCTTCATCTTCCTCCTCCTCACCTGTCTGTGCTGCAAACGGGGCGATGTCGGCTTTAAGGTGAGGTGCACGAGAGGGTTCCAGGTGGGGAGGAAGACCCCAGCAAGGCCTTTCCCCCCAGCCCAGAGGGTGGGTGAGGGAGAGTGGCGGTCAGTCCGGGAGCACCTTTGGTCCGGAGGTTATGGCCAGATCCGGAGGCTTGGGATGGACATGGAGGCTTGGGATGGACACTGGACTGGGACTGAGGACAGTTATGAGAAAGATGGCCTGTCTCAGCCCTGTCTTCTCCCCTCCCCACCCCTCCCGGCTCCAGGAGTTTGAGAACCCCGAAGGGGAGGATTGCTCCGGGGAGTACACTCCCCCGGCCGAGGAGACCTCCTCCTCACAGTCGCTGCCTGATGTCTACATCCTCCCGCTGGCCGAGGTCTCCCTGCCGATGCCTGCGCCGCAGCCTTCACATTCAGGTACTGCCCCTGCCCTGAATAGGACTCCATGGTCTTTTTTTTTTTTTTTT